GGGGAGGGGGGCTGGCGGGTGAGGGCACGGGGCGGTGCTGGGCTCCATCCTGTCCCCCTTTGCCTCCTCGCTCCTCCCCTCCCCCCTCCCCAGCCCCTCTCGCTCTCTGCACCCCAGTCTCTCTTCCGTGACTTGGGAGAGGAGGGGACTGCGTGGAGGGCCTGGAGGCAGCATCCGGGAGGGCGCCCCTCGGTGCGCCTGCCCCCCGGGGTGAGGCCCAGAATTTTGGCTGTCACCTGACGGGCAGGAAGTTGGCAGACCACACAGCCTGACTCAGGCTCCCAGAAGGTAGGGCTGCAGCCCCAGCTTGAACGGGGCGACCCTCCAAAGCGGATTGGGGGGGCCGACCCATGGAGGTGTGCGTGGGTGGGGACCTCAAACCTGAAGTCACCTCCAGAACCTCCCCAGGCCTTATGGGGCCACCAGGAGTTCGCTGAGCTTGAGGTGCAGAGAAAGGCAGGAAGGGAGGCTCTTTAGGTCCCTTGGGGCTTCCGAGCACGGTTGTAGGGCAACTTGGGCACTAGATGGGGCTGCACAAGGACGTTGCCGGGATGGGTGGCTAAGCGGTGGGCTTCCTGTCACCCTCCAGAGGCTCAGCAGAAAAGTGTCCTGGACCACACTGACCTCTGTGTGCCCAGCCTGCTCTCGGGGCCTTTGATCTGTAGTTTGAAAAAATTCCCCCTGACATTTATGACTTCTCTTGGAAGTATAAGGTTACCAACCTACCAGAAAGAGGGGCATGATCCATCACTCAGCATTTATTTAGTGCCTACCAGTGCATAATGTGTGCCGGAAATCCCGGGACCCGTTAATTAATGCAAGAAAAGGAATTATCTCCAATTCTTCACCTCTGTGCCATACCTGAAACCTGGCTGTCCCCACCCCTGAGCCCTCTGTGAAGGGAACAGAATTCCGCCAGCACCATGGTGGTACAGGGCTCAGGCAATGGTGCGCACCTGTGCAGGAATCAAAAGTACTGCCACTAGCCAGCAGCAGAGTCTTGAGTCTGCACCTGAATGATCCTTGACTTGATTCAAGAGAAAAAAGTTTACATAACCTAGAGGTCATAATTTAAGCACATTTGCATGACTATGCAGCCATCAAAACTCTGGCCACCTTAAACAACTTCTGTCCCCCTTCCCAGCACCTAGCACAATTTCTGTTTTCTGACTGAATCTAACTACTCTGGGACCTTATCCACTGAGAGTCACAAAGTATTTGACCCTTTGTTTCTGGATTACTTCACTGACCACCATGTCCTCAAAGTTCATCCACACTGGAGCTGTGTCAGAACTTAGATTTGTTTTTTTTAAGGCTGAGTAGTATTCCACTGTGTCCAGAGACCAGTTTGTTTATCAACTCATCCTCTATGTGACTTTTAAAAATGTCCCCTAGACATAACTCTTCTGAAGGTGACAATGTTTGCTTGCATCCATCAGTGGGCACTACATGGGTGGCTGTGTGCTCAGCACCAAGGGGAACACACGGGAGGAATGTTAGACACAGGGTGCTTGCCCTAAGGAGATCCTGTAGTACAGGAAACTGGCAGCACAGGAGGCTAGCAGTGGGGAGTGTGTTCCATCTCTTCATTCTCCCCTTTGGAGACTTTCCCCTGGAACCGGGGTGTGTGTGTCTGCTTTGGAAGTGGCAAGGGCAGGGTGAAGATGAAGTAGCTCCATGATTGCAGATCTCCCTAATACACCCCAGGCACCAAGGGTTGGTCGCTGCATTGTGATGAGGAGTGTCAGGTGCTGCACAACTGAGCCTCCGCAGAACACTTTCAAAACTGCCTTTGGTTCTCTCTGCTTTGAAGACAGTGCTTCTGGTCATCAGAATGGGGGCTTCAGTCTTGTGTGGACCAGAATCACAGATGACGGCCTCATTCAGCATGGTTGGTGTGCTATTGTGTTGCAAAGCCAGGTCTGTGAAACTTGTGTTTTAAAAAAGGTGTATGTGTGTGTGTGTGTGTGTTTCTGTGTGTGACCAAGGGAAGAAAGTAATCAGGACTAGTCTTCCACCTTTTGGATCTGGGGTCTGTACATCTGTGCTGGAAGTGTGGCCCTGGGTGGCCTTGTCATCTCTGAGCCCTCTGAAACCGTCTCTCTAATGGCACTGGGGTTTTAACACTGGTTGTTTTCAGTACTGTCTGTTACATTGGGTGTTAATGAGAAAATACGAGGTACAACTGTCCCTCCTTTGCTCTTGTCATCTCAATCTGGACACAGATCAGAGGGCAGGCTTAAGGAGTCCAGACCCCAGGCTGCAGAGCTGGCCTCCCCAGCAGACCATCTGTGGGCGCTTCCTTGTTTAGTCTGGCTCAGCCTCAGTTTCCATGTCTGCAGTTGCAGTCTGACAGGGGCTTTGTGAGGAGTGAAGGAAATCATAGAACAATGCTCGGCAAATCTACTCTGTAGCAAAACTGCTGCTTCTGTGTCTACACTCACTACACAGTCAGTCTAGAAAATATTCGGAGTGACTGAAATCCAGGAACAGAAAGAAAAGAAAAACAGATGTTCAAGGAAGCCCCACAAAAGTGCTTTTAAGCACTTTAGCCAAATAAGAATTATGGCTATTATTATTATTATTATTATTATTATTATTATTATTATTATTTTGTGGTACTCATAAAACTCAGAGCCTCATGCACAATAGGCTCACCACTGAGCTACACCCCATTCCTAAAGAAAAAATGCAGGTGAATGTGGTGGTGCACACCTATACTCCCAGCGCTCAGGAGTCTGAGATAGGAGGATCACTGCAAATTCAAGGCCAACCTGTGCTACATAGTGAATACAAGCCCAGCCTAAACTATATACAGCAAGACCCTCTCTTTCAAAAAAAAAAAAAATTGCAAAAAACAGATTCCCAGGTGCCAGCCTCTATCTGGGCCAGACCACACCAGAAGAACACACCTAGGACATGTTATGTGAAGCCCATGGCCCATGCCTCTCCCCACACTCTCCTGAGAGACTGCGCTCTCTAGGTCAGAGGTTTTAATGGAAAGGCTAATTCTGGGAGGGTCACCTTTCATGTTGTGATTAGCTCAAAGGCTCAGAAATTACAACAGCCACTGTCCCATTTGTGTAATATATGTCTTTGGCCCAGTGCTGGGGGTCATAAAGTACCCCAGGTCCTGCCTGCCCAGCTGCTGTCCTTCCAAGTTCACTTTCCACTCCCCCAAACACACCTGTTCTGGTCCTCATGGCCATTCCCCAGCAGTCGATGCTCCTTATGGATCTGCAAGCCAGAGAGGGGTATGCAAACTCCACCCCTACCAAGAGGCCTCTCACCCCATGTGCTTGATGTATTTAGGGTGCAAGCTTCCCGCCCCCTCCGACTTGGGAATATGCTGCCTTTACTCATTAGTATGACAGCTGCAGGGTGGGGGACCCCCATGCTCTGGTCCTTAAACCTCACGCACCCTTCGGGTGCCAAAGGTATGCATCTGAACTGCGTCCTGATCTCACACTGAGAGTTAGGAGACTACTGGGTGTCACCGTGCTCAGTGGGCATCTGTTTTAAGCTGTATTTTTCACTTGTAATTTTACAGGGGGTTTTAAGCAAAACAATATGTATGACCATGAGCTATTTCCCTAATTTATAAAGAGCACTTGTAAACCAGACATCAAAATCAGCAAACTTTTTCCTGAAAGGTTCAAATAGTAAATATTTTAGGCTAAGTGGTCTCTGTCAAAGCAGCTGGATTCTGTAAGCCACAGATGGCAGGGGTGGTCACATCTGGCCAGAGGCACACAGCAGCACACAGGTTTGATTGGCACTGGAAGTTTACCATCCCAGAGGTAGAAAATTCAGCCCAGTGCAAGAAAGGCTAAAGGATGCTGACAAACACAACCTGAATAGACCAACAATTGTGTGTCGTTTATAATCAGATTGATGGGATGGACTTCAGAAGAGATGAACCATTTTTCGCCTGCTAGTCTGGCAATGCTCAAAAAGTTTGACGATGGTAATATTGGCAAGGGAGAGGGAAGCATGCCTTGTACATGGCAATCTTTGCCATTTACCAGCTTTGTGTCCATTTGACAATATCTGCCAGGCTTACAAAGGAACAAACCCTCTGGCATGGGAGTCCCATGAAATAATCTTATTCTTACTTGTGCAAGTATGCCAAGGCCTGTGCATGCAGATGTAGCACTAGTCCTGTGTTACAGGAAAAGGCCTGCTCTTCTATAGAGAGGGCCCCCATGCCATGGCACTGGGGGATCTTTGAGGAGGGTGAGGGGACCTGGGGACTTCAAAGACTCTGAAAACAAACACTGGCAGCTGTGAGAGAGGCCATTTATGGTAGGCACCTCTGCAAAGGGGAGCTCAGTGGCCCAAAAGGGAGAATTTTAACATTTATTTTGTGTCCTTGCCTTTCGTCTGAATTTTTCTTTTTTAACCAAGAGTCCTAGCTCCGTGGGATCCCACACTGCCTATTCAGAATGCAGTTTACTTGTGTGAGTTCCCATTTCAGCTTTGTCCCAATACAAGGGTGATATTAGAGATCTCAGGCCTCCACCCTCCTATTGAAAGGCAAGACTGGTGACCTGCCAGTGAAAAATAGGAGTTTTAAATGAAGGTGTAACCCACACAGTACACTTCACGAGTCTTTAGCACATAGCTTGCTCAGTCTTATGTATACCCATGGGGCCCATCACCCAGGTCCAGAGGTGAGTCTCTTCTACGAATCCCTGGGGGTCTCTCATGCCCGCCTCAGTGGCTGGGTCTCCTCTGCCCAAGCTCAGGACTCTTCTGAGCTATTTTCCTGTGTATTGCCTGTCCTTGACCTTCATATTAATGGAGACTCTTTATCTCCAGCTTCCTCCTTTTTTTTTTTTTTTTTTTTTTTAGACACAGTTCTCACTAAGTCACTAAATTGCTCAGGCTGAGTTTGAACTTGTGATCCTCTTACCTCAGCCTCCCAGAGTGCTAGGATTACAGGTATGTGTCACCACTCCCAACTTCTCCAGCTTCTTTTATTTGGCCATGCCCTGAAACTCATCCATGCACTAGTTTGGATGGTGCTATTCAAATTTATTGATCCATTCTACTGGTGATAAACATATTTTTATGGTGGAAACATTGGGTGCTGGAGTTTAGCCAGCTGGTGTTGGTTTTGATCATCCCAATTTTGTTTGCAAGATCCCCAACGCTAGAGTAAGAAGCCAGCCAGACACCTGCCTTCTCTCTATCATGCCTGAGCGAGAGTTGGCCTTGGCCTTGTTACTGTCACAGAGCTTTCTCCTCTTCTTCCTCTTTCTCCTCTCCCTCTTCCCCCTCCTTGA